TCTGGAAACCTGGAAAAGACCTATGGATTGTATGGATCGGAGCCAAATGGATCATAAATGCAAACATTGGGCTTTTTGTAAAATTCGTACACGCGATACGCAACTTGGAATCAACTCCCTTGTCTTTAAATTTGTTCTGAGACAGTCTTAAGTTCGAAACCCCAACTTGGCAACATTTTCAGCTTACACAGGCGAGGAAATCTTCAAACGTGATAGGCACTGAAGAAGTTAACCCAGGGCAATGGTTATGAGAAATCTCTCCCCCTCCCTTACACACTTGCTAGTGTGACCTTTCTGTTCAGATTAAATGCCACCGCTGCCAATCTTCCACGGGGAGGGGCGGGGAGGAGAGCATTTTTCTGAAAGCTTTATTAGCTGACAGATCTCATCGGGGCTAATCACCTTGAATGCAACAGGAAGAGAGGCGGGGTGAAATGCTCCTGGTTCAGACCGGATCGTCTGATCCGGTAGCGATGGAGGCGGGTGCTTCGTAGAACCGGTAGCAAAAATCCCTGCGCCCCCCCCCCCATTGCCCAGCTGAGCCGCGCAATCATCAGTGGCTTTTATTATTATTACTCTCGTCACCTCCCGCCTGGACTACTGCAATGCTTCTACATGGGGCTCCCCCTGGGGTGCACCTGGAGGCTCCAGCTGGTGCAGAATGCGGCCGCGCGGGGGATTATGGGAGCGATGGGGCGCTTCCATGTGACACCTCTCCTGCGTGAGCTGCACTGGCTCCCGGTGGTCTTCTGGGTGCGCTTCAAGGTGTTGGTGACCACCTTTAAAGCGCTCCATGGCTTAGGGCCGGGGTATTTACAAGACCGCCTTCTGCCACCAATAGCCTCCCACCGGCCAGTACGCTCGCACAGAGAGGGCCTCCTCAGGGTGCCGTCCGCCAGACAGTGTCGGCTGGCAACCCCCAGGGGGAGGGCCTCTCTGTGGCGGCGCCCACCCTCTGGAACAACCTCCCCCCAGAGATAGGTACAATACCAGACCTCTGGACTTTTCGTCGGGCCCTGAAAACTTATTTATTTCACCTAGCCGGGCTGGCTTGATCCCACAGTTTTTGGTTAAATTTAATTGATTTTAATTGGGTTTGTTTTAAATTGCGGCCAAAAATATTTAATTATTTTTAAACTGTTTTTAAATTTTGTATGTTTCGTTTTATTCTGGCTGTTCACCGCCCTGAGTCCTGCTGGAGAAGGGCGGTATATAAATTAAAACAAATAAATAAATAAATATTATTTTTAAAAGCATTTTTTCTACAACCTCTTTGGCCGAAAAAATGTTTTTAAAAGTAAAAAAAAAAGCCTCTGATGATCGCGCGGCTCAGCTGGGATCATCAGAGACTTTAAAAGCATTTTCTACAACCTCAGCTGAAGAGGTTGTAGAAAAAATGGTTTTAAAAGTAAAAAAAAAAATAGTTGGCAACACCCACTCAGTCATATTACCCCTCCCCCACCAAGCCACGCCCACGGAACTGGTAGTAACAAATTTTACATTTCACCACTGAAGAGAGGTCAGCGCATTTGAAAGACCATCTGAGTGAATGTTGTGAATTGGCACAGGGATATAGCAATAGCATTTAGACCAGTGGTGGGTTGCCCCCGATTCGGACCGGTAGTAAAACCGGCGGGAGGCCCTGTCCACTGCCCCAGATTTCGTCATCAGTGATCTGCGCATATGCAAAAGTAAGGCGCGCGTGCGAGTGCGATCCCGTTGAGAACCGGTAATAAAGGTAAGTAGAACCCACCTCTGACTTAGACGTGTATACCGCTTCCCAGTGCTTTGTAGCCCGCCCTCTCTAAGCGGTTTACGGAGTCAGCCTGTGGCCCCCAACAATCGGAGTCCTCATTTTACCGACCTCGGAAGGACGGAAGGCTGAGTCGACCTTGAGCCGGTTAGAATTGAACTGCTGGCAGTGGGCAGAGTCAGCCTGCAATATTGCATTCTCACCACTGCGTCACCTGGAAGGAGAATGAGAAAGAGAATAAGGGAGGGAGGGAGGGAGGGAGGAAGGAAGGAAGGAAGGAAGGAAGGAAGGAAGGAAGGAAGGAAGGAAGGGTAGCAATAGTACGTAGACTTCTGTACCACCAATTTTAATTGAAATAGAGCCCCAAATTTACGTTGCTAAGCGAGGCATTTGTTAAGTGAGCTTTGTCCCCTTTTATGACTTTTCTTGTGACGGTTGTTAAGTGAATCACTGCAGGTGGTAGTTAAGTGAATGTGGCTTCCCCTTTGACTTTGCTTGTCAGAAGGTCGCAAAAAAGGATCAAGTGACCCCCCCCCCGGGGGACACTGCAGCTGTGATTGTGGGGTTTCCGCAAAAGTCGTAACTCTGAAAAATGGCCATAAGTCACGTTTTTCAGTTCTGTTGTAACTTTGAACGGTCACTTAAGCAAGCTGTTGTATGTCAAGGACTAACTGTACTTCCTTTTTGGGGAGACACCCCCCCCCCAACTTTTCTGATCAGAGCAGAGTCCAGGAGAGAGCAAGGCTG